AGAGGAGTTACTAGGGACTGAACCCAGAACCTTGTGCATGTTAAACATGTGCTTTACCACTTGACCTATACCCTCTCCCGGTTTCCTTGATTATTGAAACATGTAGATCTGTCCTTCACTTCTGTTAAAATGAAAATAACAGTCCCAAAATGGCATCACCCATGCTGCACTCCAACTGCAGTATCTGCCTCTCCCAGAAATGTAACCTTAATCAACCACTCTGGAATTTCTGGTCAAGCACCAGCAAGGTAATCCGTCAAGTGGGCGCTCTCCACCCCCCAGAGTAAGACAAAATCCTTGCTGTTCCCTTCCCCTTCAAAAGAAAATGTCCTGGCCTAAATATAAACCTTTTCTTTTGTTAATAGATCCCTTGCTCCACCTTTTTCCTATAAAAACCTTTCATTTTTGTACAACCCCTCGGAATGCCCCTCCTGTAGCTAGAGGGGATGCTGACTGATTCATGAATCACTGAGTAAAGCCAATTCGATCTTCAAATTCACTCAGTTGAATTTTGTTCTTTTAACACCTGTAACACAAAAGTTCTATATTTTAGGCCCCTTGCAGAGAATTTATCTTCAAACTCTGCAGTATAGTTCTCATACAAAATTTGGTTGTGAGAAGTATCTTAGCAGTGATATCAGCCCGAGACCTACGGAACGCAAGGGCACGTACAAAGGTCTGTCTGTGGCTATGCTGAGGGGGCAGAAATGAGCTGGCAAGGGTTAGCAGAAGGGCTTACGTCCTTCATTCACAGTAGCCCCCCCCCCTCCACTTTATCTACATTGCAGAGTGAACTTTTCTGTAAAATTTTATATGTGGAAATGCTTTGGGTATAAATGGGCATAAAAGAATAATCTTTTAGTTGACGTTTGGGAATAGAACTAACATGGCAATACTGCTCAGAATATTACTTTCCTTTATATATCATTATTATATTTGAGAAATACTACTGGCCAGTAGGACTACATAAGTTTGCAAAATATTGACTCATGCTATACAAACGAGTTCTGTTGCACTCAAGTCTGCACTTACACATGCACTTTGTCCATGGCAAGGTTAACTAGGAAGACAATTCAGGGAACATATTTAACATAAGTCGTGGTTCTCAAGAGAGCAGACAGTCTTATAAAAGTTAGAATTATTTAATGTTAGGCTTTATGAATGGGGCTTCTTGTGCCTGCTCAGGAATCACTTAACCTTAAAATGGATCATTATATCACTGAAGACACAGAAAAACACTGAGAATGGGCAAATGAAGTACGACAACATAGTGCTTTTATGCCCCTCTGAAAGGCATTTATGTACAGTAAAAACTCAAATCGATGTGACAACTTGTTTTTATGAGGCCACCTCCAGGCCCACCTCTTTGCCATTAGTGCTTGAATCTGAAAGGAGTTCTGTGGTGGTAGTTCTTGAAAGAGTGGAATGTCAGTGTGAACTCTTATGATTTCAGAACCAGCAAGTACAGCTGTCCAGAAGCAGTTGGAGTTTTGAAGATCAATTATGCTTAGAGCAGAAATAGTTGATACACTTTTGTTTTATTGAGAGGGTGTGAGATACAATTTAATGTGTTGCCTAGTGGGAAAGGAGGGATTGAAGGATTGGTAACTAAGCTTAAAAACTACTCTACTAAATACATTGTCAGATTAGTTCATTTAGAAAAATAGATTCTAAATAACCACCAAGAGTCTACATTTGCACCTCAGCCTATTTGATCAAGCTCCTTTTCCCTCAGGACTTGGATTTTCTTTTGTTTTGTCTCTGGTCAAAGCCTGGCGCAGAGTCTGGCGTAGAGCCTGGCCCTAGGAGAGGGTGAGTCTCAGTAAATCCCACTTTATTCTGATGGCTCTTCTCTGAGAGCTGAATGTTACCACAAATCCAATGGAAGCCTTTTTGTTTATTCTATAAAAAAACAGTAAATGAAAAGGTATGTGAATGCACTTAGTAAAGCACCAACAAATCTTTAAAATGGAATTTTTACATTTAAATTCTTGGTCCATTTGGCATTTGTCTTGGTATAAGAAGCGAGATATGGATCCAACCTAATTTTTTCAGATGGCTACCAAGTTGTTCCAACACCAATTATTAAATAATCCAACTTTGCCTCTTGACGTGGCACTCTTGCCACATGCTGCACTTTCAGATGCATATGGGTCTATTTCTGAATGATTCTGTACCACTGTTCTGATCTGTCCTTCATGCATGTGCCAGTTCCACAGTTTTAATTACTGAGACTTCATTTTTTTTCAAATAATCTGATAAATACTACAGGCATAGAATCCTTACTAACATTCTTGTTCAGAATTTCCCCAGCTATTTTTAGTTCTGTATTTTCTCATATGAACTTAGAATTAGTTTCTCCAGTTTGAAAAACAATTTCATTGAAGTTTCATTGGGAATCTGTGAAATCTGCAGATTACCTTAAGTAAAACAGACATCTTTACATTGAATCTTCCCATTCAAGAATATGGTATGCCTTTTTGTTTGTTTAAGATCTTCTGCATCCCTCATGTAATATTTTCTCTATCTAAATTTTGGTAAGTTTATTCCTTGGTGTTTCATTCTTTTTCTTGCTATTATTTTAAATTAAATCTTTTCTTTCATTATTTCTACAGCTGGTTGTTGCTTGTATAATCTCCGTGTTTTTACCCTTGCCCTCTACAATGTGTGCTCTCCACACAGCAGCCAAAGCGATCCTTTACAATGACCATTCAGATCATGTGACATCTCTGCTCACAGTCCTCCAATGGCACACCCCATCACAGGGCCTTTTGTACTTATTGTCCCCTCTGCCTGAAACCTTCTTCCTCCAGATATCTGCTTGGCTTTCTCTCACTTTGTTTAAGTCTTTGCTCAAATATCCATCTCCTGAGAGAAGTTTTCTGTGACCACACTTTTAAAAGTAGCCCCCATCCTCTTTGCTATGCTTGAATTTTTTCTTACATAACTTATTATTATCTGAGATTATTATGTATGTTTATTTGTTTACTGTAAGTTCCATGAGAGAAGGGACTCTGTGTATTTTGTTCACTGCTACATTTCCAGAATATAGAATATCAGCTTGGCACGTATCAGTTACTTCGAAAACATTTATGAAACAGAGTAGGTGAAGCTTCCCACCTAATGAGCTCCAGGGCTCTGATGGCAGAGCCACAGATAATCAGCATCAGGACCGATTTCTTCTCGCTGTGGTTTTTCCGAAGTTTCACCCACTTAGGGCAGACTGAAAAGAGGCCATAAGAAAAAATATTACTCTAAATATAGCAAAATAAGGTCCCCAAAGTTGGATATTCTCCAATCACTTCTTTGTTATTGTTGAAGTAAAATAAAATACAATGAGCACTGTTTAGATTCTACTCTATACTGATTATTCTAGATATTAGATTAAAATGAAATACTAACTTATACCACAAAACACATAATATGCAAAGTAGCTAAATGTGACTAGTTTTAGGACTAAGTTAAAAAAGTCTGTAATAATACAACATTTTCTATATTTTAATTTATGTTTGATGCTTGAAGGCAATGTTGACTAAATAAGGAAAAGAACTCTGATTTAATAATGTTAAATTTTAAAGGGATACTCGGTGTAAGATATAAAATGGAAATGATATTAAAATAATAGCAAACATTTATTAAACACTGACACTGTACTAAGCACTTTATGCAAATTTCTTTTTTAGTTTTCATAATTCAGTGAGATTGGTTGTATTATTATCTACATTTACATTTGTTGAATTTGAGGCTAAGAAAGGCTTATGAACTCAAGTTGAATGTCGTCAAAATTGGTTAGAATTTGAAAGAAGAATGTTAAATTTTTATCTCTAAACTGTTCACTGTTGGCCACAAATAAATGACTAGCATGAAGAATCTAGTTATGACTGCCTACATACAATATTTACTGAAAAGGTCCAATTAGACTGTCTATGCAATAGGCATAGTCTGAGCTCTGAACATGGGAACAGAATATCAGAATCTCAGAGCTGGGCTCAAGATTATATAGTCCAAATTCCTTGTCTTTCAGATAACAAAACTGAGTCCCAGAGGAGTCCTCAGTGACTTGTCTTGGGTCAAACAGCAAATTAATGGGGAACCTGGGACTACAAAACTAATAATTTTTTGGATTCTAAGACCAATACTTTTACTGTGTTATAAAACAAAAAGAAGACCAAAATGCCAGAGAAAAAAAGAATAAATTTAAATAAATAAAAATTAGTATCAAGATGGACCTAAAAGACTTTCATTTAAAATCCATTTAAAGTAGAAACCTGATTTTAAATGTAGTTTTCTAAGTTCTTATTTTAAAGAGACAGACCTTATGTTTTAATGGAAATAATAACTTGATAAATAATTTTAAAAAACGAGTTTACTTACTTTCTTTTAGGTATGATGAAAGACTGTGAGTCAAATCATTGGCCTTGAGGAAACAGGAGTCTAGAAATATGAGAAACATGCTTTGTAGAATATTTTGCAAACACATACATAATCAAAATAGATTAAATGTGAAAGATGTATTCTTGAACAGGTTGTACATTAGTGAAATGGGGACTCAAATATTTTATTTTAAAAGTGTTGTCTAGCATTTTTATACAACAGCAACAGCAGCAGCAACAAGTAAATTTCTAAATGTCCATCATTTCTTAGAGTATTGAAATAGAAGCTTGCTGTATCATTCAGTTGACTAATATAACATCTTTATTTCCAAATCCACAAAATAGGCACTATACAAAGGCAAAGCTGAAATAGCTAACAAATCTAAATGGAAATGCTAAAACTCACTAGTCATCATAGAAGTGCAGTTAATACGAGATGAGATAACACTGCACACACATTAGAATGGCAACTGTTAGAAAGATGTATAATACCAAGTGTTGGTGAGAACGTAGGATGATGAAAACTCTTGTGAACTGTAGGTGTAGGTATAAACTGGTATAGCTATCCCGGAAAGTAGTAAAATTAAGATGTATACACCTATGACCCCAGGATCACAATTCCTGAGTAAATAATGGGAAGAAATTGTTGTGTGGTCTATAAATAGACATATTCAAGTTTATTCACATTAGCATTATTTTTAATACTGGGGAACTAGAAGCAGTCTAAGTGTCCATATAGGAGAAAATGGATGAGCAATATATAGTAGATGAAATCAGTAGACTACTACATAGCATTTTAGACACAATGAACTAGACGTAAATAAAGCTATATAGGCATATCCTGAAAAAGTGGTAATTAAGGAAAGAAGCAGAATGAGAGGTTCAGCACATCACTTAAATATATTATAAAATGTATACACATGCAACAACATGACATATTTTATAAGAACATATACATACTTTAAAATGTATATTAATACCTTAGAGTGAATGTCTATGGAGAAAGGAAATTGGAGTGAGGTTTGGGGAAGAGTGGGAATAATGCATCAAAATACAGTATAACACAACACAATGAAAGACAATGTGACATACTACAATAAAACATAGGGGTCTTGCTCAACCAATGATGATCATGATCTATCAATTATGTACCTGAGATGTATAAAAAAGCAACATCATGTTTATCATCCTAATTCTTTCTACAAAAAAAAAAGTTTGTCTATAAACACAGCAGAGTGCTAAGGAGTAAATTATTACTAAATTAAATGAAGCTTATGTTGTGACCCAGCATACATAACTCATAGTATGTGAGTACCTATCTTCAAAGATGTTGCCCTCTATACTGTTATAGAGACTTTGAATTCTTTAAAACTGTAATCTCCCAGGACTGGATATGATCAGACTCACCTGGAGAACTTTACAAAAGATACAGATTCCTGGAATGGATTCCCTTTTGCGTAGTGAGTCAGAATTCCTTGGGGGGAGGGCCTGGGAATTTGCTTTTTAAGTTCCTGGGTGATTCAGTTGTGGCCGGCCTACAGGCATTTAGCACTGATCTAAACCACACTGCAGCTCTCAGGAGGACAGCTGAGTTAGCTCCAAGTGACTCTTGCCTCAAATCTCTAATTAAGTTCCCATGTGTATGACATTAACAATGTACAGTGTACAGTATTAATTGAAAAGACATGTTCCTGCCTTACAGACATAAACAACCTCAAACCACAACCAAGTTAGATGATCGGCAACTAAATAGGAACAATATTTTATTACTTACATCCACCTTATATTTATGCCCCTTTCTGAGCCTGTTTCAAATAATTGTGTGTCCCTCCTCTCACCTGACGAGAATTCCTTTGTGTCCTGAGTCCTAACAGTGTAGTGATGGGCCTTTTCTCTAAAACCTTCCTATGATGTGTTCATTCACTATGGCTGAGAATGGCCTCATTTCTTAACTGAAAATGAAAACCTAATTTTTTTTGGCTGTAACAGTATTTTTAACATATTTTAAACATTTTCCCCTAAGCCAACCCATGACCACACATTCTTGCCTAATTATATTACTGAACTCTAATGATGATAGATATAATATAATGTAAACTCACTATGGAACTCAAATGACTCTTTCAAGGTTTCTTCTGACCTCTACTCTCTACAATTCTAGCAAATTAAGGTTTATAATGTTCCAAGAGGTTACAGATAGCAGCAGTCCCATTATCTTTCCTCAGGTGAAGGTAAACTAACAAAGAACTACAAGGGAAAATTGACACCAAGTCACAGTAAAATCAAACTTCAGTTACACCTTGAAGAGGCTTTGTTGTAACACTTGGTTTCTGAGATAGAAGAGCCAGGACCTAGCTCTCATGCAGAAGAACTGCTGTGCTGAGAAGAGTGGTCTCTAATTGCTGTTGGACCTTCTGATCTCTGTAAGTGGAAAACTCCAGAAACTGCACATGTGGAAATGAGCTCCTTCAACCCCCTAAAGGATATTCCTTTTGGAAAAGGAACAGACAGGGGCACTGATATCTCCAGCCTAACATGCATTTTTTTAAAAAGGCACATTATTACAAAGAATTATAAAAATTCAGGGAATGGGCTGTTTTTCAGCTTCTAAAGACTCTAGAAAGCATACAGTTGTCATGGAAAAAGGAAATCAAGCTACCTTTGACTTTTTCCAAAAGCAGTATGAGATATCCCTAGTAGTCTACACATGGCTTATCTGAAGCAGTGCTACCCAAACCTTTTGTGCTTTGATTTTATAACATCTCTTTTCCTCAATCTCTGCACAAAAGAGTTACAGGATATAACATTACTTTGAAATTAATTAAAATTGGTTGTTTTAAGAATTTCCCAGTATCTTTTAATTGTTAATATTCTAATGCAGTAGATCTCAAATAATAGCAGGCTTAAGAATCACATGGGGTGAGGTGTCAGCCTTGTTAAAAATGCAGAATTTTGTCCTACCTTTAGATAGCTTACTTGAAAAAATCTTCGCTAGGACCTAAAACACTACCCTAAAAGCACAATTATGACTTCACATCCAGGCTAAGGATAACAACGAAAATAAGATGCTATTAAAGCTAAAGTTCTTGTCTATAAAGGGTGAGTAAGTTAATGTTTCACTTCTATACTTTCATTTGTGTGCATATCTTTATTTTATTTAACTTCTATCCTCATTAGGGATTCTTATTCATTAAAGAATCTGCCAAAAAATGTATACCCAATTAGCCTTTTGAATAAAAAATTACAAATCTTTCTATTAGATTGAACAAATACCATTTAGCGTCTTAATGAAGATATCACCCAACAGTTAAAACTATGAAGTTGAGGAAAGGAATATCAGCATGTGGAAAACATATCAATCCCCTAGCTGAAATACCTAGCCATAACACACAGTAGAGAAAAGGTGAACCTGTTTTGCTCCTTCCCCATCATCGGGAAAATTGCTAGCAACTAACAATGAGTTTTGCCAAATAACTAGCCTCAGAATAGTAAGAGAAGGAAAAAAAAGAAAAAAAAAAAAAAAAAAGGAAAAACAACAATGAAGCTTGGTTGTACCTGGCAGGTTTAGTTCTTCTAATTCAATCACTGAGCGATTACTGCTAAAATAGTCCTTCATCAGCTTCTGTAGGTCTTCAGGTGTCCCTGGTTTTGGCTCTGATTTTGCAAGAACATCAGTAATTTTCTTCTAATAAGAAGGAAGAAAAAAATTGGAAGATTTTTTAGAATGGAATTTCACTTAAGATAGGTTGATGCCGCTGGCATTTAAACTGTACACAGGTTTTGGCGATAGCCAGGTGTGAACAGGAGTTCTAATAAACACACTTGAGAAACTTAAAAGATACTTCTCGGACATAACTACAGCTTTGAAAAATGAACAAATCATCTAAATGACTCCTTGCAACCCTTGGTCTGTGATTTCTAGAAGAACTAAAATTTCTGCAGGAGTCTCTATAAAAGGGTACTATTTTTCTGTTAAAAGTCAATAAAACTTGTTGCTTGTGGAAATCTCTTTTTAAGCCTTAGACAATTTGTATTCCTGGGAGAGTAGAATTTTGAGAATTTCTTGCCTAACCTGGTTCTTAAGGCATTATGCTTCAGTTTGGATTTCTGGGATTAAAGTAAGAGCTGCATATCTCAGCACAGGAATGCACTAAAGGGGGGACATTTTAGACCTTCTAGTCTCAAGTCTTGGGAGAAACAGTCTTGAATTAGCCCTATGGAAAGCAGAACAGGAAATACTTCACAACAGTTATTTTGATCTGGACTTATTTGTGTAGCATTTACTGAATGCCTGTAATGTACTAGGAACACACAATTGTTCATTTAACTTTCATCATAAACTTCCCTCCTTATTTCCTTCTAATATTTCACCAAAGATCCAGAAAGAAACATTCCCTGCCTCCCACCCCAGCTTTTTCATTCTCCTCCCATACTATCTTCTTTTTATACCACTGCCAAGAATGGTCAAAGTTCTGTCAGATGAATTAACTTTAAAAAATATGTCATCAGTGGGCACATTTTAGCATGACCTCAGCCAAGGCTAAACTATCTAGCTGGAGTTCTGACCTTGAGCCACCAAGAACTTCACACTCCTGAAGGCCATTAGTGTACAAACTATCAAAGAGAAGTTAAAGTCGTTTCTTTAAGAACTTGCCAAACCTCAGCCAATTTGGCATCTCTCATCTTCCTATTTGGCCATTTGTGAGCAAGGGAAACATACGCACACACACTCTCATTTTTCTAAAAGCTTGCTGTTAAGTAATTGGTTTGAGTCCATCTTCTTTGCTCTAATCCCAATCATATTTCCTCTGCTGACTTCAGCAGCAGACCCTTCTTGGCAGGGAGAGAATTACACTGCTGTTTTCACAACTGTGGTAGAAGGTCAAAGCCAACCACACTTTCTTCAAGCCTGAGCCATCAGAAAGTTTGTATAGGAGCAACAAAGTTTTCCATATGTTCACAGGCAAGTATTAAAATCAAGGGGAGCCTTTTGCTTTAAATTACGGTTCCAAATTAGAGTCAGAAATGCCTTATACTTATACTACCTTCATCTGTTTATTGTTTTCTTTTTATTAATACTCTAAGATATAAGGTTTTAAAACTTGAAATGGGTAAGGAAAGAAGGTTGGTCAATTTCTTTTCTTAGAGACAGAGGGGCCAGTGGACAAGATAGCTCTGGGCCCCTTCTAGAATCAGAAACCTATGTCTGACTTCTAACCACAGTGAAAACACAGAGTGGGTAACAAAGATGTTTGGTGCTCCACAAGACTGAAATAGGAATTAGAAGAATTTATTTTTAGCTCCAACAGAAATACCTATTACTAGTGACCTTAGGAAAGTCACCAAACCTCAAAGAACCTTACAATCTTTGCATCTCTAAAGTGGGGATTACAATAATTGCCTCATCAAAGTATACTATTTAACAATGTGATGGAAACCATGTGGGGCCACATCATTGTAAGAAATTATTATTACCTTTCTCCTCTTCCTGGTTTTGGTGGCATCTTCACTTGTTTCCTTTGGTTTTATCAAGAAACATTCTTTAGGCTATAGGGAAATACAAATGAGAAAACTTTCATCTTAGCATGACGAAGTGTCAACTAAAGATGTGGATGCCAAAGTACCTATTGTCATGCACGTATTCTCCAGAGTATCTTGATAATATTCCATAGACAAAGAGATATTGGAAAATGTACTGTAGGCTATTATGAGGTGCTGGGCTGAGAGAATTTGTGAGAAAGTACAGATGACTTAAGACTGGAAAATCTTTGAACAAAGGTCAAAATGTGTGAATGAGCGTGTGTATATATATGTTTAAGGTGATGGTACAGGGTATTAAAGATTGAAGACAGTGGCCAGATTTGTAAAATACAGGCAGAAATAGATGTGATTGAAATTAAGAGGTGGTAAGAAAGGCATTGACTACTATGACTGGTGTTTTCTATGAACCAGCAATGTATAGGCCTGTTTTTCCCAGTCACTCATCTATTATTTTGTTATCCATTCCTCTCCTCTTCTCAAAAAGCATAGAAAATCTGAAGTAGGATAATTTACTTGTGGATATATTTACTTATATTTTTATAAAACCAGCTGCACCAAATGCCTTCCCTGTAGTGACTATAAAATGAATGTTGCTGCTGATGGTCTGACAAACGTCTCAGCACCACGGCATCCTGAGTAATTGATTCTGCCTGTTGCCTTGACCTCTGAGTACCCTATACAGTTTAGTGCTATTTTTACCCTGAGTGTTTTTTTTAAGTGTAGAAAAACAGGAAATTTGGACTAAGATCTTGATTTATAAAATAGAATGCTTCAGATTCCATATTTATTAATCATAAGCCATTATATAAAATGTTTCCTGTGTTGGATCTTTTATTCAACATTTTCAAACAAGTTGCCAAGTAAGATATAAAATGTAAATGAAAACTTACTCTGAATTTTTCTTGATTAAGTTTCCATTCCAACTAGAGAGTACTCAGTTTAAGCTGGTAAGCTGCTAACTAAGGCAATCTTATCTCCACTGGCTCCGTTCAAAATAATCACAGATGAAGTTTTCTATTCAAGTTTGCAGACAGCCTGAAGAATAAGAATGCCTATGGCCTGAAGCCAGAGAGATATAATGTTATATAATTTCTTCAAGCCCAGGACCAGCAGTTTCCAGACTCTGTTTCAGTTGTATAGAAGGAGATTCAAAACGCTCAGGATTAAAGTAACATGGGAATCTTGAAATTTCACTCCTCAGTTAAAACAAAACCCTGCAAAGTATAACTGCTTCATAGATAAAGAAAAGAAAGATATTATGACCTCTTTTATTTAGAAAGATAAGATGTCTTGTGGATGCAGATGCATGTTAATTTGATGCCAATTAGAAACTGGGCCAAGGCCACTGATATGTCACAGAAGCTGCCAGATGGTCTTAAGAGTCCAATTACAGACCAGGCCAACATTCAGTTCATGCTCCTATGGCAAAGGCCTGGATACGATTAGCAGATCCCTGAAGGCATACAGCAATATCTTGTCATCAGTGTCAACGTTTTGGAAAAGGAGATGTAGAAACCTGTTCCATTTTCTTATTTACCAAATGGGGGTGCTCTCTAAGAGTATGGTTCAACGTGCAAGGTTCTATTTATGCTAGGTTTACAAAGCCAATTAAACATGACTCAAATTAAATGTGAAGATGAGCTCAGCTATAAGGATATGGACTCTCCAATTATGGAAGAAAAAATAAAAACATAATTCTGAATCATGCAAAGGAAAAAAGAAACAAGCTTGACGACTGCTTTTGTTAAGATACTATATCAGGTTTACATATTAGGTTCAAATTCTTATATCATCTTAAAGGAAACGCAGTATGATACTTGTTTTCTGCGAGCAGCCACTTTAGCTGGTTGTGGCAGAGTGCTAATGAAGAAGCAAGTTTAGGGGATCAATTTCCATAGAAATGAGAGGACTTTATGAAGCAATACAAATCCCATAGTATTGAAATTCCTAAACGTTGTCAGCTGCCTTACAAATGCTGATGTTTACCCTCAGAGAGACTAGGTAAGAAGATGAGGAAGACTCAAGGCAGGCCACCCAACCATTTCTAGAAACCAATTCCAACAGTATCTGTCTTTGACAGTTAATAAGTAATGTTATCTCTTTATGTAGAGATTTTAAATATGTACTCTAAATACAGAGTTAAAGATTTAGAAGAATCACACTTGCCCAAAAATATACAAAAAACTTATTAAGCTTTAAATGAAGCAATTAGGGTATGTTTTCAATTTCTTAAAGCATCAAAAATTATATCCTTTAAGAATGATTCTTCTGGTTAAACATGGCAAATAATTCTCAAAACGCCACTAAAATGAAAATAAAGGAAACTAAAAAGGTATTAAGTCTACAAGGCCTAAGAAACCAGGAGAGGATGACAGTAGTAGAGAGATTTCAACAATTTTCTGGAAAATAGAAAGTGGTTGAAATGAAATGGAAGCCATATTTAGGAGACAGAGAGAGAGAGAGAGAGAAGAGAGTGTGCTGGCACTTGGCTTTTCCCGTCGGACTCTGAAAAGGTTCAGAAGTTGGGAGCACAAGGTACTGCAGAGAGGAAAGGGTTTAAAAGAAGGAGACTGGCTGAAATAAATTAAATAATTAAAATAATTAAAATGATTAGCTTCCCTTCTACTCTCATCTGGCTATATTTTCTGCCCAAGCAGTCAAGCAACTATCCTATTGCTGCTTCTTGTCATTTTGCTCTCCTGGAAGAAGACGGGAGGTTTATTCTCTGGAGAGAACAAGATCAAGAAGTCTGGCACTGAAGAGATAGGGCAGTCAGTGGTTGAGGCTCATTTCCTTTTCCTGTCTTTGTTTCAGGATGTCTCAAGCCAGGCTCATGTAGTAACAGGTAGGAGATTACTGAATTCTTCTCTAAAGGCTTAAGAGAAATGCCGTAAGAGAGGGTCATTTGGGGATTCTATAGTAAAAGTTCAGCTTTGTTATCATTATCACTCTACCGTGAAGTCTACTAATTAAAAAGCTGCACTTAAGCGCAAAATTTTCCATAACATTTTAGTGTGTCTCTTTTTAATATGAATAGACAGCTAAGGTTCATCAGACATCTAAGGAAAGCCTCCAACACAAGAGCAGATAAACAACAAAAAGAAAAAAGAATCCTGAGGAAACAGAGACAGTACTTCAAAACAATTACAATTAATATTCTCAGAGAGAGAAAGGAAGAGTTTTGATCCATGAAACAAGAACAGGATGCTACTAAAAAAGAAAAAAAATCAGAAAAATTTTAAACATTAAAACAAATAACAAAGTTGGGGTAAAAATGCAGGAGGAAAGTATGAAGATAACATAGAGGAAATCTCCCAGAAAGATGAAAAATAGTAAGAAAAAAAAAGGTAAGAAAATTAGAGAATTACCCCTGAGAGAGTCAACATACCAATAAAAGGTATTATAGAAAAAAAATAGTCATATTAAACAGCAGGGAAGGAGTGATTAAAAAATAATATAAGACAAACTTTCTAGAACTGAGGAAACTTTCTAGAATATTAAACTCCAAACTGAAAGCCCATTAAGAATATGGTAAAATGAAAAAGCAAAATACCCATACTAAGAAGCATCATTGTGAAATTGTAGAACATCCTGGACAAACAAAAGATTTAACAATTTCTAAAAAGAAAAACAATAACATACAAAATACAAAAGTTTGAGGAAAAGAATGGTGGCAGGTGGCAGACCTTGCAATAGCAATAATGGATGCTAGAACTCAGTAGAACAATGCCTTCAAAACTATGGGTAAATTTATCTGCAAATTAGTTTTTATACCCAGCCAAACTGTCAATCAACTTACGAGGGAAAGTTTTCAGATTTCAGTAAACATTCTCAGATATTTAAGGTCTCAAAAATTTTACTTCCTCCCCACAGATACTGAAGGCTCTATTCCAGCATAATTGAGGGCTAAACCAAGAAAGAGGATGATACAGAATTCAGTAAATAGGGACACCAACCCAGGAGAGTATTGAAGGGGCAGTAAAGAGAAGCCCCAATTGCTCATCAGACCTACAGAATAACCAATTCAGAGTGGAATAGGATTATGGAGGTCTGTAGGGAAGAACAAAAACTGATCTATTTGAGCATATGGAAAATATTATTTATGGGCATATGGAAGAGATGTTAGAACATATGGGAGCAATTAACAATAGGAATACAGAAAGCTAGGCAAATGAAGAAAAGAGGTAATTATTAGTGCCATGAAAATAAACAGTTGTATAAGAAAGGAGGGATGATTATAGCTTCTCTTTTTTTTCAGCATTGAACAGTATTTCCATGGGCATAATAATGAAAGAGTGGCACCTGTTTAACCAAAATGTGATACTGTGTTGGCAGAAGAGGTAGCAATTGGAGAAGCAATAGGGTGTAGACGAAAGGGCTATGTCCTCATCTGCTACCTCAGGAAGTTACTAGATAATATCAGAAAGTGATAAATCAAGAAACAACAGTGTAAACTATAGGCAGCAAATAAGGAAAAGAGCTAAAGGCAAGGGTGGTTGCCTCTAAGGAAAGATAGATAAGAGTTGGGAAGGAGACTGCTGTTTTTTCAATAAAAACTTTTAATAGTGTTTGATTATTACTCTGGTAAAAATAAAAAATTTAAATTACCATTTTATAACAAAAACAAGCATGTTCACTGTAAAAATAAAAACAACTTAGAATTGGCTTTTGGGTTTGGTCAAAGGTTATTCAATACATACTCACCAAAATGTCTAAAATTAAAAGACTGATAACTCCAAAAGTTGACAAAAATATAAAGCAAAAAAAAAAAGAAAAACCAAAAAAACTATCATACACTGAAAGTGGGACAGCAAAAATGGTACAATCATTTTTGAAAAAATTCTAGCAGTTTTTATAAAATTAAATATGATTCAGCAGTTCTATTCCTATGTGTTTATTCAAGAGAAATAAAAATATGTTAACAAAAAGACTTGTATATGAATGTTAATGGTAGATTTATTCATAAAAGGTCCAAATAGGAAATAGCCACAGTATTCATCTAAAGA